TAAGAATGTCTCTGCAAAATTTGAAGTTAAAATTCTGAATATTTTCAAAGTTATGGACTTTTGAAGCAAGGTATGTGCTTGGCGGCAAAGTGATCGAGCGATCGAGACTCCCAGAATCTATGGCACTGTTGTAAAACGTTTATGTTATTAGAGTCGTAGTTTCCTGATAGCCAAGTTCAAATTTATTTGCAGTGACCTTAGCATAATTAGATTTTATATTCAAGAAAAATGAATGTGAAGGCCATGTAGAAAAACGTATGGGATCGCAACTAAGAAACATAAAGAAGACCAAGAAACTCAGAAGAAAAAAATTAACTGATAAGTTAATTAAACAATTAACATTTTACTGTGGTTTTGCTGTTAGAATACATTCATATTCTATTACATATTATCATATTGTCTGATAGTTGGTGTAAGTGGCGTAAAGCTGAAGCTGAGGGTATTCTTAAAGATTTTAACCACGTGCCACCACTTTATGAAGACGTCGCAAAAGAAATAAAATTACTTTATGAAGATTTATCTTCAATAGAATTAATAAAAAGTTGTTTAGGTGGTGAAACTCAAAATAACAATGAGAGTTAGAATTCGATGCTCTGGCGACTTGCTCCCAAACACTTTCATTGTTACTAAAAACTATTGAAATTTCATCATTTATTGCAGCAGGCATTCTTAATGAAGGCTGCAATACAATTTTAAAAATCGTAGACGATATTGGTATCGTTATTGGAGAACAATGTAACAGTTTCGCCACGACTAGTGATGAATGGCGATTACAAAGATCGGCGAGACGAAGCCTTAAAGCAACCAAAAAAGGCCTGTACAGAGGCTAGAATGGAAAATTTATTAACAAAAAATCAATTCGACGAGTAAGAGGAAGGAATAATATACGGTCTTGGAATAGCTGATTAGTTGCAAATATCTGATATTTGTTCAGTAACTGCACTACAAATTTTAAACACATTTTTCTCGCAACCACGTTTTCGTAGCCGGTTGACATGATTTAGAAAAAAGTATTGGATCAATCAACTTGAAATTTTAACTGTATGTAAAGAAAGGTTCCCTTTATCGTTTGATCTATAGGCAAGGCGATACACCTATAGATTTTTTTTAATTATCAAACGTTCGGGTAATTTTTTGCGAACATTTAAGTTTAAACTGTTACCATTTCTTGACAAATAATTTTTTTTATTCATTGTAGATCAAACGATAACTATATGTATATAAAATAAAATCTCATTTGAATTTTTGAATTCTTATAAACTGGAGGGCAGATATCATGCCAACCGTTAATGAAGCAATTGCGCGGAGGGTCCTACTTCGTGGGCAATTCAAACTGTATTTTTAAGTGAACTGAACTAAATAATGAAAATCCAACAAACACATATACAAAATTTCAAATTAATCAACGTTACACTTTTGCTAATAAAAAATTCTAAAATATCGCTACTTTTGACCAAGAAAAAAGGCAATCCCCCCTTAAACATTTATAATCTGAACCTTTTCATCAGATTATTTTGCATAATCATTCCATTGTAAATCTTAATATTTTTTCGATAGGAAGTTACGTTCTTACCGTTTACAAAATCGAATAACTAAATCAACAACATAACACGGGCCTCTTAAGGTTATTGAACTGATTTGACATTGAAATTACCATGTCAGTCAAAGCAATCAGACTTTTAAACTCTTTGTTATAAAATCAGTGAAATCTGCGAAGTGTTTTAACCTGTAATTATTAAATAAATTTACTCATTTATGTACATCCTACATCCTACAGTATAATTGCGTTAAATGTCAAAAAACGTATTTTTATTATTCTATAACGAAATGAAAACCACGGAAAAATATACGTATGCATGTCGAAAGTGTTGTAATGAAATCGTGGATTGAAACTATATAGATAGATATAAGGCTAACAGAAACAGAGATAGAGACATTATCCACGCAGTTTCTACCTATAGCTGTAAATACAGAATCATATGCTAAATCATGATTTATATGGAACAATACATTAACATTTAGCATCTCTTCATTATTGCGAATACACGATGTTCATCGAAAAACTACGACAGTCCTTCACTATCGCTACTTCAAGGATTATCGAAGTTGACTATACTTTATCTGCTACTCGATTGAATATGACCTTTTTTCTTGTCTATCTCGTACATTACATACTGTCTGTACATTCGATTTTATACGTTTCACAATCAAGTTAACATTACCGCTCTACAAGTTCATCAAGATCGAAGAGAAACAAACATCCATGTCTCCCTAACATATACAGATCAAGATTCATAAGTATTGATGTCAATAAATGCTATTAAAATTGATACCTACATAGCTCATTCCTAATTATCTTACTTGTAAGGATATCTCTACGAAGAATGCATATGTCTGTAAGCAGTTTAATAGCAACATAACATAGTGTAGAAGGAATTCCTTTATGTTATCACGGGTTCTGTTACATTTCAAGGGAATCGGAAATTTCAGTAACCTCAGTTTCAGTTCCGAATGCTGCATATGCACAAAATCTGTAATTCAGTAATACGATTTTCACTTTGCACAAGTAAATACTTCGTCTCGAGTTGATTTGCTGGACAATATGCCTTTTGAGCGTTTCAATTATTAATACACATTCAACTGAAACGTACAAGAAGCAGAACATTTTACTGTTTTCGCAGTACGC